GCCGAGGTCCGCGTGGACAAGTTGGAGCACTTGTGTGAGGAGTTGTCGAAGAATGCGCCCCCCTTGGCTGGAGACATCGAGACCATGATCAAGGAGTGCATCTCGGACTTCATGAAGCAGGAGCCCGCCCGGGGGGTCGGGCATGGAGGCACGCAGCAGCAGCAGACAATCACAGACAAGCGCATGATCACGGCGGTGGTTGGGAATTTGGATGGGATCCCGAACCTCCCTCAGGCGTCGAAGTGGCTGGAAGAGAAGCTGGTCTCTTTGGGGGCTTCTCCCCCCCGGAAGGTTTATGGGAAGGGCGCCTATGCTGGCATCGTCTTCGCGGAGTTCGGCACCCCCTCGGATCGAGATCAGGCGGTGGAGCTTCTCCGGGGAGCCGGGCTCAGGAGCGGAGACAAGCAGATCTGGGCAAGTCAGGACCGCCATGCCACCGAGAGAGCAGCGCGAAGCTTCTGCTTTGGCCTCAAGCGCCTCCTGAAGACGGACTGGGCGGTACCCTACACGATCTCGGTCACAGACGAGGCGCCATGCGTAGTCACGGTGGGCGGAGAGCACGCGCTGACGGCGAGCGCCCTGTCCGGCAAGGTGCACTACGAGTGGCAAGGGGAGTGGGCCACGTGGGCTGCCCTCCACGAGCGCGCGAAGGTCAAAGACCTGGCCAAGAAGAGCACGGACATCGTCTCCCGCGCGATGGCGGGCATGAAGGGGCAGGCGAAAGGTGGCTCCAAGGGGAAGCCACCCCATTAGGAGACACCGCACGTGAGCACAGTTTCACCCAAAGTTCCACCCGCAGTCGGCACTACTGCATGTATAAACCCACATCGTTTGATTCAACGCTGCATGAGCTCCGGCGCACCGCCCGCTGGCGACGGCACTGCGGACGCACCCGGGGCGAAAGTGAACGCTAGCACCGAGGCAGTTTTTTTCCGAGGAGGGCGGCTGTCAGTTGCCGGCGCGGGTCTGCAGCTTGCGGCGTGGAACGTGGAGGATTTCACTGAGGCCAAACTTGTCGAGCTCCAGATGCATATGAAATCATATGGGATAGATTTACTTTGTCTCCAGGAGACACACAAGTCGAAATCGGAGTACACGGTTACCGAGGAGGGCTTCCTGTTGATCTTCTCGGGGGCGTCCGCCGACGACGTCGACGAGACGGCAGGCGTGGGATTTCTGATATCACCAAGATTGCGCCGAAGCGTCGTCGGCTTCCGGCAGGCATCTTCGAGAATGGCTTCTTGAAAGCTGAGAGTTGTTGGTGGCAAGATTCTTGTGTGCAGCGCTTACGTCCCCCATAGCGGGAAGCCGCCATCGGAGAGGCAGACATTCTTTCAAGAGTTGAACACATTTCTTGGGTCATTATCCTGTCATGGGCCAGTTTTTGTATGTGGCGATTTCAACGCGAGGCTTCACGTGCGGCGCCCAGGAGAGGAAGAAGTTCTGGGCGCACACGTATTCGGCAACCCTCGTGCGCAGCATAACCCATCTTCAAATCGTTCTTTCTTGGTCGAGCTATGCACTTCTCGGGGCCTCGCTGTTGCAAACACGCTGTTCGACGAGCCGGCGGAGAGGCGGGTCACCTACTATGACATCGGTTCATCTCCGGCGGACCCCCCCCCCCCACAGCAACATTTTGGCCAACTTGATTTCGTTCTCGTCAGCTCGGAGTGGAGAGGCTCGGTGCAACGAGTCTGGAGCGACCGCGCCGCAGCGTTGGCATCGCACCACTTCCTTGTACAAGCCCGTGTCTTGATCGACATCCCCCGGACAGAGCCGAGGGCCGGCAAGAAGCGGAAGGGCCATTCTGTTCTGCGGGGCCCGAGCGTTGCGAATTGATTTGCCGCAGCCTTTTGCGAGCAGATGGGCTCCGACAACGACGATGCTGTCGACGAGTCCGCCCAGCATTTGAATGAGCGGATGACCCAAGCATTCCTCTTCGCCGCCGACCGCGTTCTTCCTGGCGCGAAGCTGCTGCCCAAGAGGCCTTGGATCTCGTCGGGCACTCTTGCGCTCATCGAGAAATGCAACGCCGCTCGCGAGAGGGGGTCGCGTGAGGAAGAATGCGAGCTCGCCAGGCCAGTCCGGGCATCTGTGAAATCAGATAGGTCGCAATGGTTGGAAGCAGCCTCGCCGCAGGGGAGTGGGCGCCGATCCGGCAGCTTCGGAAAGGCGCCGCCTCGAAGCAAGGCCGGCTTGCAAACTCGAGCGGAGAAATCGTGGACTCGGACCAGCGCGCCGACACTCTGGCACAATATCTCGCCCAGGTTCAGTGGGCTGTCCGGCCGACGACAGTCGCCGAATTCACAGACAGCTTGGGTCCCACCTTACCTGCGTCGTGCGATCCCATCACCGAAGGCGAGGTGTTGGCAGCGGCTGCCAAGCTGAAGAGGGGAGAGGCAGCCGGCGCTGACGGAGTTCCAGGCGAGTTCTGGAAATCGATTTGCCCTCCAGGGACCCCTGCCTGCAGGTGGGCGGTGTCTTTGTGCAGAAAGTGCCGGGAAGAACGCGTGGTTCCTGACGCTTGGCGCAAGGCGCTGCTCACGGCTATCTTCAAAAAGGGCGACGTTGCAAACTGTGAAAACTATCGGCCGATTAGCTTGACTTCAATTGGGTATAAGATGTTCGCTACAATTCTTTTGGACCGTCTGAAAGCAGGCGGTGCTGAACAAAGAGTCTGGAGTACCCAGTTCGGTTTCAAGAGCAATCGCGGGACAGCGGACGCGATATTTCTCGTTCGTCGTTTACTTGAACGTACGTGGGCAGAAAAAAGCGGGCGCTTAGTCTTGCTGGCTTTGGACTGGGCGAAGGCATTTGACAGTGTTTCGCCCGAGTACTTATGCCTCTCACTGGAGCGGTTCGGCGTTCCCACCCACTTCATACATGTCGTGCGTGCCATCTATACAGATCGTACTTTCTCTGTCCGTGACGCCGGAAAAACATCCGAAGAGCATCCGCAAGCGTTCGGCATCAGTCAGGGTTGTCCGCTCTCTCCGTTCTTATTCGCAAGATTGATGACCACCTTGTTGCGCGATGCAAAAAGAGAGGCAGACCCCTATCTGAATAAGAAATGCATGTGCACGAACTTGTTTACGCAGACGACGCACTTTTGCTAGCCACCTCCGGAGAATCAGCCGGGGCGTACATGCATGCCGTACAACATATGGGGCAACAGTACGGTTTACAGTTTAATTGGCGCAAGCTAGAAGCCTCGGCTGTAGGTGCTGGCGTATGCATTCTCAAGCCGGACGGCGCCCCGATCCCACAGAAGGGAAGCATAGTTTATTTAGGTAGTCTGATTAGCGACGACGGCAAGATCGGGTCAGAGTTGTCGCGCCGCCTAGGAGCTGCAGGTGCAGACTTTGACAGATTGGCTAGGGTATGAAGCCATTCGACTCTCACGCGGCAGAAGAAGATTCACATTTTTGAGTCTTAGTTATGCCTCTCACTGGAGCGGTTCGGCGTTCCCACCCACTTCATACATGTCGTGCGTGCCATCTATACAGATCGTACTTTCTCTGTCCGTGACGCCGGAAAAACATCCGAAGAGCATCCGCAAGCGTTCGGCATCAGTCAGAGTTGTCCGCTCTCTCCGTTCTTATTCGCAATATTGATGACCACCTTGTTGCGCGATGCACAAAGAGAGGCAGACCCCTATCTGAATAAGAAATGCATGTGCACGAACTTGTTTACGCAGACGACGCACTTTTGCTAGCCACCTCCGGAGAATCAGCCGGGGCGTACATGCATGCCGTACAACATATGGGGCAACAGTACGGTTTACAGTTTAATTGGCGCAAGCTAGAAGCCTTGGCTGTAGGTGCTGGCGTATGCATTCTCAAGCCGGACGGCACCCCGATCCCACAGAAGGGAAGCATAGTTTATTTAGGTAGTCTGATTAGCGACGACGGCAAGATCGGGTCAGAGTTGTCGCGCCGCCTAGGAGCTGCAGGTGCAGACTTTGACAGATTGGCTAGGGTATGAAGCCATTCGACTCTCACGCGGCAGAAGAAGATTCACATTTTTGAGTCTTGCGTTTTAAGTAAGCTGTTGTACTGCCTGCGCACTTCGTATCTTAATAAGCAGGAAATGCGCCGTTTGGACGCATTCCAAGCGCGATGTTTGCGCAAGCTGTTGCGCATTCCCCATTCATACGTCAGCAGAGTCTCGAACGAAATCGTGCTTCAACGGGCCAACGTCCGCCCTCTTAGCAACGCGCTCCTCCGTGGACAGCTTCATTTTCTTGGTCACATCGCCAGAAAGCCAGGTGACGACGCTGTGCGTTGCGCAGTGCTCCAGCCCTTTTCCTCCCTCCCCCCTCCCCCCTCCCGCCCAGAGAAAGAGAGGGCGCCCACGAGCAACGTGGTCCCGGGAAGTTTACAGGCACGCCTGCGAAGCAGCTGGGGGTATGGAGGCCCTTCCGGCGCTGTGGCAGGACACCATTTCTTCGGCCACGGCGTGGCGTGTCGCAGTCAGCAAGTGCTGCGATACCACGTGATAGTGGCTATGTGCTCATGTGTGTTTCGTACTCAGCTTTTTGTTGTTGTTCGACCCTCCCACCCCGAGATCCGACGTCGCGAAACAACCCCTACAAATTGAGCATCATGACCGGATACCCAGGTCCCATTTTTCTGCGGCATCTCTTCGAGCCATATGGATTTGTGACAGCCCTGGGGCCCGAAACAAGGCAACTCACCCGTTGTGGAAAAGATGCGACGCCAGGCTCTCCTTTACTGTCGGGCGCTCCTTTTTCCTGCTTCACAGTCGTGAGGCGCTCCTTCTGCCGTTTCTTATTGTACAGTTCACGAAGGGTCGCCAATCGAGCGCTCTTCTGCCCACGCGTCCTTCCGGATGCTTGGCTCTGTGGTGGTGGTGGCCAGGCTCCCAGGGCGTCATTGCCGTCGCCGCCGCCGTCTCCGCCGCAGTCGTCAAATTTGTCGCTGTCGCCGTTGGTCGTCGGCGAGGAGCTGGAGCGCCGGCGGCTGACGCGCGCCCTGCGGATCCTCCCCTGGGCGCAGGCTTAAGTCGGGCCTGTCCCTCTACAGAAAGAATATCCAAGAATAGGTTAAACATAGTCTGGGGACGATGTTTTGACTACTTTACTGAACTTTTGGAGTATTTGTTTGATTATTTTTATTTTTTCGTCCAAAATCCGCCTGTAGGGGGACATGCCCGACCTAAGCGCAGGCACTGGTCTTCACGAACTTTTTCGTCTTCACCGTGCGCAGCGGGCTGAACGGGGGCTCCGTGAAGAGGTTCGGGTCGATCGTTCAGGACGTTTGTTGTGCTCCCTCGCTTTGGAGCTGGCTGGGGGTCCTAGGTGGCCTACCTCTGGTTCCTGCCAGAGAGGGGGGAAAGGGGGGAGACAGGGGCCCACTCGTCGCCACGGGCTGGACGCGGCTTAGAAAGAAAGTATTTTTCCCGACCCTGAGAGGTGTCCAGGGACCGATTTTGAGCCGATTGGCCTTCGTCCCCCCCTCTTGATTGATTTTCTCGGGGCCCATCCAGCGCAGATCCACCAGCCGCTTTCAAGACTCGCCTTCGACGTACCGAGAGGTTGGCTAGGGTTCTTTGGCGGAACGTGGCGGCAGGGTGGAGCCAACGCGAGCAGAGCTAGGGCGGTTCCGCCCGAAGGTGGCGGAACCACAGCGTGCCCCCGAAGAGATGCAAGCATTCGGATCCACATTATCTTGAACCGCATGGACTCTGCGCGACCCCAATTAGGGGTCTTATCCATACTCTATCAATCCGAGGCAGTTTGGAGCAAGGCAGAAGAATGCAATGCAAATTATTGCTTGGCATTCCTCGGCATTGCTCGGTGTTGCTTTGCGCTACTTTGCATTGATTCGCATTGAGAGCCATTGATTTGCATTGTTTGGCGGTCTTTTTTTGGGGGGGGGGTGTTTGGTTTTGTTTGCCGTTGCTTGGCGTTGCGTGGCCTTGCTCGACATTGCTTGGCATTGCTTGGCCTTGCTCGACATTGCTCGGTATTGCTTTGACTGGGAAACCCGAGGAACAAGACTGGGGGATCCGAGAAAGGACGGCAATGCACAAGACCGGCGAAGCGAGGAAGGACTGGGAAAGCCAGGGAGCAAGACCAGGGAACCCGACCGTAGCAGGGAGCCAGGACCAGGGAGCCGAGCAACGCCGGGGGCCTCCTCCCTCAGATGCCTGCGAGCCCACGGACTCTTCACAGACACGTCAGAGCCCCCAGGCAGAGCCCCGTGAGGACACGAAGAGCACAGCCCAGAGGGCCTCCGCATGTTGGGCGCCATGCTCTCCGCTGGCGCCGGACCCCCTCCCTGGCTCCTCGGTGGCGGCGGCGCCACCCCCACACGCTGCGCGCGCCGGGGGAGAGGGGTCGCGCTGGCAGAGAAACCATTCACTCGGAGGTTGACAGACCTCCTACCCTGACACGTCGATCAGGAGGGGAAAAACACACAGACACAATTAATCGTCGATTTCCCAGAAAATATTGGAAAATATGGGCAGTGGGGGGGAAGACAGAAACCCAGAAAATACGGCAAAATACTGGGAATCATTTTACTTGTATGTATTTATTTGTGTGTCCTTGGGCCCCTTGAATTAAGGAATTGGCCGTTTTCGGTCCAGGTCCGTCGGTTTCGGTCCCAGGCCGTTTTCACTAATGGGAGGCTCATTGAATGGAGGTTTGTCCACCGCCGATTCATGGACGTCCGGAAGTTGTTGATAACGTGAGTTTCTGGCTCCGCGAGGACATCGCTCTCTCCGTCTTCAGCGGCATGATATCCATCATGTGGGCATCGCAATGGGCGCAAGTCTGCGTCGTGACGGCCAGGTCTTTGGACTACTGGTTCTCTGCGCTGATGGCCTGCCTGGTAGTGTACCTGTCACCGTATGCGATCCGTGCAGACCTGGTCGCCTATCGCATGAGCATGATCTACATTCTGAGCCTTTGCGTATGTCTCTGGAATCTGAAGCCGATAGTGAACCTCCCATGGTTGCTTGTGCTATGTTTCTCGTCCACCTGCACGCTGATGTTCGGGGAGAACGCAGAGGAAATCCAGAGTGATGAGTACAGCTTCGAGCATATATTGAGCGACGGGTTTCAGAACATGGTTCTCTTGGTGCCAGTGATCGAACAACGCAGCGGCAGAAACATGCGCTTTCGGAGCTCCGCGTGGGCTTCTTGGATCTGCGCTGGACCCTCCTGCCAGCGCCTCTGGCGCCGCCCATGGAGCGCTCCGCGCGCCAGGGAGGGGGCCCAGCGCCGATCCACAGAAATGTGTGCGGAGCTCCAGAAGTTTATGCGTATGTAGCTTTTTTTTTCCCCCGAGTGAACCAGCGTGTCGGGCGAAAGGGGTGGTTAGGATAAAGGGGGGTACGGCACCTGCTGCGTGCAGCTGGTTTCGGCCCCGCCGCCGGGCGCCTTCCCTTGATACATTGGCGCCTCTGGCGCCGGTGGTCGCCGGGAGAATCGGCTACGCGAGCTGATTCGGTGCATACGCTCCTCTATTGTCGGGTGTTGCTAGAAGTGCCCCTGGCCCAAGGTACCCCCAGGATTCTCGGCGTGGTCCAGACGGCCTTCGGGGCACCCCTCACGAGGCCCAAAAGGCCCCAAGGGGCTCAAAAGTGGAGCGAAAGGCTGGGGGCACCTTGGGCCAATACCCGATTCTGCCCCCCCCCCCCCTGTCGTCCGACCCGATCTACGTTCGGGCGGCGAGAGATACCTACGTGCACCGATCCTGGGCCCAGGATCGGTGCACGTGCCTCCCTGGCCGAGATTTTTCAAAGCTTGCAGCAGTTTCACGGATGGAGGGCGGGTCCTTCTTCAGAAGTGGATATCGTCCGTCGTAGCGTCGTGCAAATTCGTCTCCAAAGTTGGCAGCAGTTTCACGGATGGATGGAGGGCGGGTTCTTTTCAGTATGTGTCTCGCCCTAACGCTGCGCGCATTCGTTTACAAAGTTGGGCGGGCCACTTTGCAGGATGTGGATCTCGCCAAAGCACCGCGCGCACTCGTCTCACAAGTTTACAACAGCTTCACGGACGAAGGCGGGCCCTTTTCAGAATGTTGTTATCGCCTTAGCCCCGCGCATCGAATAGTCACAGATTGAGGGCTGGTCTTTTTTCAGAATGTGGTTAACTATTGCCATACCGTCGCGCACATGCGTCTTCAACATTTGCAGCAGTTTCGCGGATGGAGGGGGGGTCATTTTCAGAATATTGTTCTCGCCTTAGTGCCGCGCACATGTGTCTTAAGAATTTGTAAGAGTTTCATAGGAGGAGGGCGGGCCCTCTTCAGTTTTTCGTTCTCGCATTGGTGCTGCTCACATTCGTCTTCAAAGTTTGCAGCAGTTCACGGATGGAGGGCGGGTCTTTTTCAGAGTGTGGCTCTCGCGTTAGCACCGCGCGCATACCCTTTCAACGCTTGCAAGAGCTTCTCGAATGCACGGCGGGTTCTTTTCAAGGTGTGGTTGTTGCCGTATCGCCGCACACATTCGTCTGAAAAGTTTGCAAGAGCTCCACGGGTTGAGTTTTTTTTTCTTGGGTTTTTTTTTTTGCTTTCTTTCTGTATCAAACTGTGTTTTGCGCCTCAGCGCCGCGCACAACCGTCCTAAACGTTGCAAGGTCTTCACGGATGGAGTGCGTGCCCTTTCAGAATGTGTTTCTCGCCTCTGCGCCGCGCACATTCGTTGTAAAAGCTTACAAGAGCTTCACAGGTGGAGGGCGGGTCATTTTCGAAACGTGATTCTCGCTATATCGCCGCGCACATTCGTTTAAAACATTGGCCAGAGTTTCGCGGATGGAGGGCCAGTCTTTTGCAAATTGTGGTTCTTGCCTCAGCGCCGAGTGCATACATGTAAGATTGTTTCAGGAGTTTCACGGATGGATGGGGGGGTGCTTTTCCGACTTCCGTTGGTCTCCACGTGAAGCGCTACATTGTGACGCTGTGAGTTTTCTTGATAGATCGTGCGCGTGCGTGCGCGCGTTCTCCCGTGCGCAATGCAAGCATTCAGCAAACAAATTGCAGTCTTAATTTCCAGAAAACTGAAGGATGAACAGCAATTGTGTTATTTGCAGTCTGAGGATCCCAACGTGACGTAATGTATGGTGTCGCTGCGCATTTTTCGCAATGCCCGCGCGCGGGCGTCCGTGCGCGTCCGCGCGCTTGCGCGCTGTCGCGCGTGCGCAATGCAAATCAAATTGAACATAGTCATCTCAACTTTCAAAACTGCACTGTGAAGACCAAGTGTGTCATTCGTATTCTGGGGGCCTCACCGTGGAATACTGTATTGAAGCAATACGCCTTCCTCATTGCCTGCCCGCCCGCACGCGCGTACGCGCGTGCGCGGGCAATGAGGACAGTGTGCTGCGTCAATATCGGATTCCGCGCTGTGGTTCTCAGAACACTAGCGAACCATTTGGTTTCCACCATTCAGTTTTTGAGGTTAGTGTGGCCACTCCTTATTGATTTTTGGAATGCGCACGCGAGGGAGTGCGCACGCGCGCATATGCTCGCGCGGGGGCAATGCGGAGAATCCGCAGTGTTACACTCTGTCATTCCACGTTGGGGCCCTCGCAAGTGAGATGCCAGCTCTTTATCGATTTTTTTGTATTGCGCATGCGAGCGCGCGCGCGTACGCACGTGGTCAATGAGGCACGTCTGTTGTGTCACAATACAGTGTTCCATGTTGATGCCTTCAGAGCACGAGCGAAGTTCTGGATTTTCACTAATCAGTTTACGAGGCTTATGTTGCAATTCTTTATTGTAGTGGCCTCTGGCCAGTGCCGCCGATCCGGGGTGCTACCGATTCTGCTTGCAACGGAGGACATTTTATGTTTAAAAGAAGAGCACTCGCTCGAGACGTCCTCATAAGATAGAGATGTTGAACTCGCTTGGGCAACCGTCGGATATTCGAAAGTGACGATATCGCGTGAGCAGCCAAACTCATGGGATGTCCCCTCCCGCCTTCCGGGCCTGAATGGCGTCAGCCATGGCGTCAGCCCCCGCCCCCCCCGACTTCTTCCTCCCGGGCCTGAATGGCGTCAGGCATGACGTCAGCTCCCCCTCCTCATCCCGACTTCCTCCCAGGCCTGAATGGCGTCAGCCATGGCGTTCCCCCCCCCCCCCCTCTCCTGCCCATGGCGTTTCCCCCTTCCCCCCCTCTCCTCCCTCCCGGTCCTGAATGGCGTCAGCCCCCCCCCTCCTCCCTCCCAGGCCTGAATGGCGTTAGCCCCCCCCCCCCCTCCCGACAGAGCGAAGCTCCCCCCACTCCCTCCCGGGCCTGAATGGCGTCAGCCCCCCCCCTCCTCCCTCCCGGACCTGAATGGCGTCAGCTCCCCACCCCGACAGAGCGAAGCCCCCTCCTCCATCCTCCCTCCCGGGCCTGAATGGCGTCAGCTCCCCCCCCGCCTCTCCTCCCTCCTCCCCATGGCGTTCCCCCCCCCCTCCCCCGCCCTCCTCCCTCCCGGGCGTCAGCCCCCCCCCCCCCTCCCTCCTCCGTCCCGGGCCTGAATGGCGTCAGCCCCCCCCCCCCCCCGACAGAGCGAAACCCCCTCCTCCCTCCTCCCTCCAGGGCCTGAGTGGCGTCGCCCCCCCCCCCCCCCCACCCCTCCTCCCTGCCAGGCCTGAATGGTGTCAGCCCCCCCGCCCCGACAGAGCGAAGCTCCCCCCCCTCCCCTCCCTCCAGGCCTGAATGTTGGTGTCAGCCACCCCCCTCCTCCCTCCCGGGCCTGACTGGCGTCAGCCCCCAGTGAATTCCGTTGGAATTCGTCCCCCCCTCTCCGGGGGCTTGTGCGTTCAGTGAATTCCGTTGGAATTCGTCCCCCCCCTCTCCAGAGCGTGCGCGTTCACTGAATTCCGTTGGAATTCGTCCCCCCCCCTCCAGAGCGAAGCGTCCCCCCCTCCTCTCCAGAGCTTGTGCGTTTACTGAATTCCGTTGGAATTCGTTCCCCCCCCTCTCCAGAGCGAAGTTTGAGCGAGCTCAAGCCCACGCTCTCACAAACTCACACGCCGGATCGGCGGATTTTTTTTGTATTGCGCACGCAAGAGCGCGCGCACGCGCGCGCACGAGCAATAAGGAACGCGCTTGGTGTCGCAATACATCATTCCACGTGGGGGCCTTCAGGATACGTGTGCAACTCTTGGTTCTCATGCTCCAGCTTCCGAGATTGAAGTTGCAATTCTTTGTTTGTTTTGGTGTGTCGCGCGTGGGCGATGAGGAGCGTGTGCTGTATCACAATGCAGTAATTCACGCTGGGGCCTTCATAATACGAGTGGGACGTTTGGTTTCCACCGTTCCGTTTTCGAGGTTAGGTTGGTCCTTCTCCGTCGAATTTCGTGTTGTGCATTCGAGGGCGCGCGCACTACGAAGCGTGTTTTGTGTAAACGTTTATCATGCCATAATGGGGTGTACGGAACGAGTGAAACATTTCGTTTTCACCTTTCAGCTTCCCCCGCTAAGTTTGCCGTTCGCGATTGGTTCTTGTATCGCACGCGCGCTCAAACAGAAACACAACCCACTGTGTCACAGTAGTTACACTACATGCTAGTGTGACACAGTGTGCAATGTCATGCCGCGCGCCTGAGTTCTTGCTGCAATAAGGCTCAGATTAGTTTGGAACTTCGCGTTTGCGCAATCAGCTCACACAGCGAGCGCTTCAACCCTGCGCTCAACTAAAGGAGCCGAATCTTCAGGATTCTTCTTTTGTAGAGACATAATTCACCCCTGCCACCGCCCCGAGGAATGTGCAACACGGGTGCGACATATCGCTGTCGGTGCGGGGACGGTATTGCAAGGTCTCGGGGGTTCCTCAGGACCGCCAAAAAACTCAATCACTTTGGTCGCGCAAGGAAAACCGCCATAATTCGCCCACGCGATGAGACAGAGGTTTCCCAGGAAGGCTGGGAGAAGCTAACCTCGTCAAACTCTGTGTGGGAAGGCAGAAGAAACCGCTAGAATCTCGAGGACATCTCTGGAGCCTGCGGGAATCCCAGGAGTCCTCAGGACCCCCCAGGAACCCTCAGGCATCCTCCGTGAAGCAAGCATGGATCTTCAGGAATCCTTGTGGAGTCGGTACGAGTTTTGAGCATTTTCAGGAGTCCTCCAGGAATCCTTCAGGGATCCCGGGGAACCTTCGTGGACCTTAAGGCAAATGCAGAAACCTACAGGGTTTTGAATTACTGAAGGAGGTTGATGTGGGGGGGACATCAGTGGCCAGCAAGGTGCCTTGGTTGCTACGTAGCTCCTTCTACAGACAGCGCGCCCCCTCGGTACGCGAACACATGCGGCAAGGAAAGCAATGATAGCACACGGGGTCCAAGACAGTCGAACCCGAGACGGCCCAAGAGAGGTCAAGACGGCCGAACCCAACACAGTCCCAAACAGCTTATCCAGCTAAGAGCGGCTTGAACCTAAGTCGGTCTGACCGTCAAGACAGCTCTGGGATCCCCATGGGGCCCCAGAATCTTACTGGACCCTTAGGAAGCTGCAAGAGCCCTTCTGGAACCCGGCAGGGTCCTCCAGGAATGCTTCTGGAATTCGCAGGACTCCTTCCAGAGTCTTCAGGAAAGCCTGGAGCGTTCAGAAACCATCAGGAATCCGCCAGATGTTGAAGGATTCCTGAGGTCGCATGGGGTTCTCGAGAGGTCACTCGGGTTGTCTTGGAATCCCACTCCGAAGCCCCACGCGGAACGCATCCGGGGGAACGCGTATTCATGGGATCGCCCCTCGTCGCCCCTACCGCGTCGGCATGGGCATGGATGTGCGTCGCCCGTGAACCTGCCCAGGTGGGCATGATCATCGTGTTTAACCACCTCCTGACTTACATCGTTCGCCTGGAGCTCCAGTCCAAGTTATCCGAGCAGGAGCTCCGGGCGGCCACCTCGGTGCTCGGCTGCGTGTGCGAGGCAGTCGTCGTCGTCTTCGTCGTCGTCGTCGTCGTCGTCGTCGTCGCCAGCGGCAGCGAGCGGGTGTCGAGGACAGGTTTTTGCCTGCTCCAGGGGCCTTCCTGTGCCTCATCGGGCGCGTTCCCGTGGCCACGGCTGGGCCCGCCTCGGGAAGCTGGCCACGGCTGGATCCGCTTCGGCGCACCCAAGGACAGGTTCGGGGTTCCTTTTTGGAGGCAGGCGGTCGTCGTCCTCGTCCTCGTAGTCATCGTCGTCGTCGTCGTCGTCGTCGTCGTCGTCGCCGTCGTCGTCGTCGAGGTGGTGGTCGATCTCGACGCGGAGTTCAGGCTGCAGAGGCACTCGCGGGAGCTAGCTGACATGCTGTTCCTGAATCCCCAGCGCAGCCTCAAGCAGGAGGACATCCGCTCGTTCTTGGTGTCCGAATCCGACAACAGCAAGTTCACAGAACAGATGGGGCAGCTGTTGCTGCGGGACGGCGGGAAGGAGCACTCAGACCTGAGCAAGACCTTCCAGGTGCTGATGAAGGACAGCACGGGCATGCCCGTGAACGTGCACGTGTTCGCCGTGTCCTATTTTTGCCAGGGCGGGCTCCCGGCCTTCAAGGTGGGCGTCCTGGAGGTGAGCGACTCTGACTCCATGCTTCTGCCAAACCTAGGGCATCTGGCGGAGATCAGGCAGCTGCGCCGGCGGGGTGGCCGGCCAAAGCAGGACCTGCAGGGAACGCCGCCGAGGCCGCCCCCCGGTCCGCCAGAGGACGCTGAAGACAGCGGCGGCAGCAGCAACGGCAGCAGCAGCGTCGGCGACCTGGGCGCTCTCGACCTGGAGCAGTCCCTGGGCTCGGATCCTTCAGGCTCGACGTTTTCCAATGATTTCGAGGGGGACGCCCCCGCCTTCTGGTTCGACGTGCTCTCGGCTGGCTACGACATTCTGTGCTTCTCCGACAGCTTCCAGCTCTGCTTCGGCACCTGCGAGGTGCCAGAGGAGAAAATCATGCCCATATCGATACGTACCTTTCCCTTGTGTTCGTCTTTTTGGGTCTCCGTGGATGCCCTGGTCGTCATGGTTGGATTGCCCTCGGAACACTGGTCAGAACAAACCGCGAATGTCTATAGGACCATCACTCTGGTCACAAGGAGGCTGGGGGGGATGGGTGCAGCTTTTGTTTTGTGATGAGCCGTCCATCGGTCCACACTAACTAACCATTTGCCTATGCCACTGCCAACATGTCTCTCTCTCTCTCTCTTTCTCTCTCGATCTAACGATCTCCCTATCTGTCGACCTCGATTTTTGCGATGCACATTGCGAGGTATTTGATGTCGGAGCGTTGGCCCCTTGGCCCCCCGCCGGCACACAATCACAAATGAGGCCACCTCCTGGTCACCCAATTTAGCCCCCAGAGCCCAGGGCCTGTTTTCAAGCCTTTGCGGGGTAGTTTCGCTCCTGGGAGCGCTCCAAGAGCATCCACGATAGCCTCCCAATTGATCAACAGGCTTCCAAGAAGACACGATAACTCCCCAAGAGCGCTCTACGACCGCTCGATATAGCCTCAAGACAGCCCCAGAGGGCCCCCTCAAGGCCCAAGAGAGCCCCAGGAGGCTCTTCAAGAGGGCCACAAGAGGCCAAACTCGTCCCACTCCCTTATGGAACACGTGTATTCCAAGCACATTTGTTGTTTAAGCAGCGTTCAATACAGCCCAATCGGGGCTTAAGATGCCCCCAAGACGGCCCACGAGGCCCCAGAAGAGGCCCAAAGACGGCCCAAAAGAAACCCAAGACGGCCCAAGAGAGGCCTTAAACGGCCCACGAGACCCCAAGAGGGCACCACGAGAGGCCCTGGAGGAGGAGGAGGAGGAGGAGGAGGAGGAGGAGGAGGAGGAAGAGAAGGAGGAGGAGGAGGAGGAGGAGGAGGAGGAGGAACGTTTCAGGAACGATTCAGGATGAAGACAACAGACGTCTAGGATTCGGAATGGCGAAGCCACACGAATTGGCAACAGACAGTACGAACAGAAACTGCACTATGACTTCTGCATGCGAGGTGAATTCAGGAGCCTCTGAGACTCAGCATCTCGGACTCGGACTGCCTCTGGAGGTCCAGACGGATGGGGAAACTTGCCAGCTCGAATTTTGGCACGATTTTGCCGTCCCTTCGGGGACGGCTCGCACATCTTGGTCAGTTGGCGGGGGTCTGTGGTACAACTCTTGCCGCAGACAGTGCAGAAAGTGAGCTTATATGCTCTCCAATACTGCAGCGTGTGAGACCTGTGGAGCTCCTTTCTCCCAACGACCTGGGGACCCCGAAGCGGCGAAGACTCGCAGGAGCTCTGAGAAACACAACGCGTAGCACACGTCTGAAACATCGACTCCTGATTCGAGAACAGGTTGCATCTGCGGCAAAAGTACGTGGCACCAGCGCGACCCCAACAGTGCTCGGGCGACTGTAAAGCCTGCGCAAGCTTGGGCAGGGGAGGGCCCCCCTCACGGTCGGGACGCTCGGAGGTCCATGGGTCGGCCTATATTGTCGTTTCCAGGGCACGACGCGCTCTCCTCCGCACAAGGGCGGCTTCCGCGTCCCGACGGTCCGCGAGGGGGATGGGGGCAATCACGAATTCGGTCCGGCCGCGCTCGGCCGCTTCAGCAGCCAGGGCATCGGCACACCCATTGCCGAAAACAAGAAGCATGTCCTGGCGGGGCGTGGTCATATTCTCCTGGTGAGACGGGACCCAAATCAGCTCGACAGCGCCAGAGCCACGAGCCTCGACCGCCTTCTTCTGGATCCTGGCCCAACGGTCGAGGTTTTGACCGCTCCCAGGCGCCACGCACGAGCCGAGACCTTTGGCTCAGGAGTCCAGCAGAGGGCCATGACCAGTAACAAAGCGGAGGCCCCCAACCGTGGCCTCCAACGCCTCCGCAAGCGCCGTTATCTCCGCTCTAGGCACAGTTTGCCTTCGGCCCTCGATCGGACAACCAATGCCCCAGACAGGCTCCCAAACATCGCCAGAAGGAGCCAAGTCGATAAGCCCTGTGCCGACCCGTCGACGCTGAGGGTCGTCCGAGAACCTCCCACCCGACCCAACCCCGAACAAGGTGACGCAATCTTCGATATCGCGGGGGGCGGCATCAAGGGATCCAAAAGACAGGCGGGTGGGTGGTTTGTCCTCGAACTTGGGGACCGTTTCGGCTCGGCCAGGAGCCCCGCGCAATTCACGCGGGCTTGCTCGATGAGGTGCACGCTATCATCAAAATCTTTGTGGCCGCTGTTGGCCTCGCAGCTCCAAGCCCGATGGGAAATATCCTCGGGCTCCTTGAGACAGCGCTGGCACGTGGGTGAGAAGGCGTAGCCCGCGGCGCTTTGGCGGTCACGGGGCCACTGCCCGCCAGCCACGACCGCGGCGTTCAGCGCCCAGTGGTCAAGGTCGCCGTCGGGCTGCTCGAGCCTGCGGAACTCGCGGCAGACCTGGTGCACGTCCTCGCCGTCGCGGAGGTCAGCACCAGCATCGTGCAACGAGGCGGTGGCCCAGAGCTGGCGGTCCACGGGATCTTCGGTGTCATCGAGGATGTCGGCGAAGTCGCCGTGGGGAGATTCGAACTCAGCGTCCACCATCGAAGGTGTACGCCAAAGCGCATCTGGGTTCGACATCCACTCCATGGAGCTACGCGGGCCCCAGCCGACGTCAAGCAGGGTGGCGGTCGTCGACGCGATGGGCCCTTTGATGAGCGCCAATCGCCGGGAGCCCGCGCGACGGAGACGCGAACGAATGCACTCCCAAGTCTTTGCCACTCGATGAGGCAGGCCAGGGCGTTCACGCCATACCTTGAGCCAGGCCAGTATCTGCTCGCGTTGGATACTCTTAGCAGGGCCCCGCCGATCATGCGCAGCAGCAGGTGACGTCGTCCAGCACTTGCCTGGTCCAGCATCAAATGCAGACTGAGCGGCCTGCCTCCGTGTCTGCGCCAATTCATAGCCTGAGGCCCCGAAGGTCTGGTGCCAGTAGGTGCCCTGCGGCTTCGCACCCATGGGTGATGGCGCGCAGGCGGGCGTGCCGACGCATGCGCATGCTGGCTTGGGGGCGCTTCTTGGCCCTGGCGAAGCGGCGCTTTGCCCCGTGCCTCGAGCGGCGCCTCCCCGCCGAGGCGTCAGCCCCCAAGTCGACGGCGTGTCGGGCAGCTTAGGCGGGGGCATCAGCGCGCCGAAGGCCAGGCGCAATATGGGCAGCCAACTTCGAAGAGGATGCAACGACGACCGTCTCGGGGCCCACCGTCGAAGCCGCCGCCTTGAACCCCGCCCCGAGAGAAGACCCAGCGCCGATCATAATCTCGCTGGCTCGCTTCTCAGCGCCCTCAGCTCGAACCGCCGCGTCGTCGACGAAGGTGCGCAAGAGGATGCCCGTCCCATATCGAGAGTGAGCCCGAGCAAGAATAAGCCCGAGGGGAGCCTTGGCCAGACGACCTCCATGAAGTGAGCTGGCACGAGACTCCCCCCTGGCAGAATGGCCTTGCTCAGCCACGCTCTATCCTTCAAGCGCCTCGGTGCCAGGAACAGCTGGAGCTCCAGGGCCAAGATGATGGCGGGGAAGCCCTGCGGAATCCCAGCCGCGCACATCAACGCGATGGAGATGCTGTCGTAAAATTTCTCCAGGTCCAAAAAAAGTAGCAGAAGTGTTCTGCAGCTCCTTGCTGATCTCGCCCATCAGGGAGCGGGTGAGGGCAGCTAGCAGCGCCGACGACCCCTGCATGGCCGTGTCCCGATGTCCGTCAGCGTCAACCACCCACGAAAGAGAACCGGCGCCCCCCATCTTGCTCCACAGCTTAGCCAGAAAGGGCAGCCGCCCCAAGTTGCGATCGCCCCCCCCCCCCCCCCCTCCCCCCCCAGGCTTAGGGGCGACCGCAGACGCCGCCATGGAGAGCTGCTCGGGCCACGTGCCGCTGCGCCCGATGTCAGCCATGATCGTGCAGCTCGAACGTGGCAGCGTCAGGCAGCCTCGGGACCTCGACTGGCCCCACGTTGTCCACGCCCTTGGCCGTCTTGGCACTCATGGCCCTGATCGCGGAACCGAGCCTGGACATGGGCAGCAGCTCCAGGTCGTCGTTGGCAGTTTTGGAGCTCCCCCCCTCTCTCTCTCTCTTTCTCTTTCTCTTTCTCTTTCTCTTTCTTTCTCTTTCTCTTTCTCTTCTCTCTCTCTCTCTCTCTCTCTCTCTTTCTCTTCTCTTTCTCTTTCTCTCTTTCTCTCTCTTTCCTTTTTTTTCTTTTTTCTCTCTCTCTCTCTCTCTCTCTCTCTCTCTCTCTCTCTCTCTCTCTCTCTCTCTCTCTCTTTCTTCATTTTTATTTCTCTTTCTCTGTCTTTCTCTTTCTCTTTCTCTCTCTCTCTCTTTCTCTTTTTCTCTCTCTATCTCTCTCTCTCTTCCTTTTTTCTCTTTATTTCTTTATTTATGTTTCTTTCTTTCTTTATATATATATATATATATATTCTCTCTCTCTCTCTCTCTCTCTCTCTCTCTCTCTCTCTCTCTCTCTCTCTCTCTCTCTCTCTCTCTCTCCCCCCCCCTTTTTTTCCTGTCCAGCCACCGCGGCCTTGCGAGGGGCCATTCTAGGATCAGACCATGCCGCGGCCCAATCATCAGCGCGCTTGTCCATCACCTCATCGGGCGCGGCGCGCGCGCGAGTCCGACGCAATGTCATCCAGCCTGCCAGGGGCACCTTTCACGAAGCGGTGTAATGCGCCAGGAGACTGCTTCCACATCTTGGTGGCTCACGACTGGAAGCCTCTTGCGCGCCTTGGCCATTTCGAGGCCTTTGGCGCGGCACGCGCAGGCCTCGGCGCGGTGGATGACCTCTTCCAGCGCGCCCTGCGGGGCGGCGTCGATCTGGCTGACCGCGGCGACCCAGACCGCGAACTCATGGTCCCCACCGAACTGCTTCTGGAGTCCCGTGTCCAACCCCGCGTCCACGAGCTCGTGGATCTTCGCATGGCAATTGACGAGGTCGGGGCAGCCCGCGATCAGCGCGGCGACGGTGCACCGACACTCGGGTTAGAAGTGCCGTGCGTATGTTCCACCATTCCAGGTGGGGGTCACGCATGCGCGGGCGATCCGGGGTCGCGCTCGTTTGCTTCCGCTCCGCGGCGTAGCCGCGAGCTCGCCCCTGTTGCTGCTTGGCGCTCTTGCTGGGAATCGAATGGTGAGCGATGGTAGCATCGCCGCCTGGACCCAACGACCGTATTGACTAGAAATCGAAATCCGAATGTCGGGGTCCCTGTCCAGCAAGAAATGGGACCTACCATCGGGCTGATGACGGTATGCATTGCACTTGGCCTCCTGCCAGCGCTCGACCGGGATGCAGGAGGGGGTCGACGAGGGGTGCGTGTCCAGGGTAGGCGGTTGGGCCAGGTCATCGTACGCTTCCTGAGGGTGCTCCTCAAGGTGCCTCCTGCGACG